ACACTTAACGTACTTAAGGCTGCTATACGTAACTTACGTAAGGCTGCTATACGTAACTTACGTAAGGCTGCTACACTTAACGTACCTAAGGTTGCCATACTTAACGTACTTAAGGCTGCTACACGTAACCCACGTAAGGCTGCTATACGTAGCGTACGTAAAGCTACTACACGTAATTGACCTATGAACCATGGTTCACGGGTGAACTCTTCTTTTAACTACTATTACCGGTATTCTTAGCTAGCTAGCTAAGGTCGATATAAATATATTAATAATAATAAAAAAACTAAAGATATCGATAAAAAAGAATTCAATTAATCATTGCAATCAATTGTAAACAAATAAATATAAAAACTTAATAATATAAAAAAAGCAATTCAGTAAATAAAATCAAAGTCGCTAATTATAAAACCTAGCAAGAGCGATACTCTTTGCAATTAAACGCTTGATTCCAAAAGAAGCTTCTTTCTTTTTATCTTATACTAATCCCGCTTCATCATCTTCTTTTTCTTCTATTCGTTTGCGCTTTAAAGTTGATAATAGATTTGTAATTCGTTCGCTTATTAAAGTATTAGATTTAAAGTCGTTAAACTTATATATAATAATTAATTTACTTTGACTTTGAATAACGACTAAAAGAGTTTTAAGTTTCGAAATACTAGGTTTCGAGGTTTGAGCGGCATTTAAGGTTCTATAAGATAGCGAAGCCGAGTCCGGTATTCTATCAGCTTCCTTTCTACTTATTATCTTTTTATCACTTTGCTTAAGGCTTGATATTTCTTCCGCGTCAAAATAATTTTGTTAAGAAATATCATTCGAATCGTTTTGATCGCATAAATTTGCTATCGCTAATATTTAAGTTAGAATTTATATCTAAATAAAAGCGTATATTATATAATATCGTACTTCGTTGCACTTTATTTTTGTAGTTTATATAACGTTTAAAGCTAGTCGATTCGTTCGTACCGTTCGAATCTGAATTTTCTAAATCGTTTTCGTTTTCTATATTATTAAAAACGTTTTAATCTGTATCATCTTAAGTTTACTTATCGAAAAGTAAATCCGTAGCTATTTTCGATTGATTTACTTTGCTTGGTTTTCTTTATAAAGAATATAATCGATTTGCTACGACTTTGCTTTAAGAAGCGGAAGAATGCGCTTTATATAATCTTATATGATAGTTAGTAAATCGATTAGTAAATCGATTAGTAAATCGATTAGTAAATCGATAAAAAGTAAAAATATCGCAAGTAAATTAACTTACTTTTTGAATGCCCTTCGTAATTTAAAGACTTTCCGTACCGTAGCTATCGCATTTTAAACGAAACATCTTTATTAATATCTTAAAACCTATCTAAGTTCTCTCTTATTTAATATAATCAATAAATATTTATAAAATCAACATTATTTAAACTTACGTAATTCTCGCACTTCAGCTTTCAACATTATTAACTTAGCCTTTCGTTGCTTAAAACTTATTATTCGAAAGTCTTGATCGATCGCAAGATTATCGCAAGCAAAGATATATTCAAAACAAGATAAGCTTTGAAATTAACGATTTTGCTATTCTTGAAACTTTTGTACTTCTTATTCGAATTCTTCTTTAAGCTAATCTTTATCTAAATCATTATAATTTACTAAAATCGATTCGAATAAGTGCCGAGCTTTATCTAAGCGAGTATTATACATCTTAAAATATAAAGCAGTTATTTCTTTTGCGATTGTTGATAGCGATAAATTACCGCGACGATAATCGCAAATATCTCTTGCAATATTAAATACCCTTTTTACGCAAACACTAATTAAAGAGATGCATAGAAAATCTCTAGCCATTCGAGCTAAATTAAGGTACCGAAGCTTAAAGTTTCGCCAAGAAGTCAAAATCTCTCGTCCGTCGACCGCTAAACTCAATTAATAAAAATCAATAAAATTAAGGTTTTAAATTAAAATTTCAAACTTACGAGCTAAAAGATAATCATGCACTTCCGACGACTCGTGATCTATATCTTCGAAAGAAGCTTATAAAAAAGAACTTAGCATTAATCTGCCGCGGAGTAATAAAGCGGCTATCGGTTAACGATCGATTGCTTTAATATTATCAATACGTTAAGCTATAGATATTAAAAACTTATAATATTCGTTAAAAAGCCTTTCGAATCTCGCTCGATATATTGCAGACTAATCTTTACTTTCGTAAAGCTAAGAAAAATTTAAGTCGAAAGTCTTTAGCTTAATAGTAAGATATAAGATTATCGCGAAAGCAAAAATATCCTTTAGCGGCCCTTGCGTTTTCTTATAATACTTATCTAATTTCTCGATAGCATTAATGACGCCTTCTTTTAATTGCAAGATTTATTTAAAATCATTGCGATCTTTTTTCGAAATCTTTATATATTCAAACTTTAATCGTGCTTATGCTTTATTTAAACGTTCGAATATTTCATCGAACATTAAAAATCCGTATTGAATAATAAGACTAAGCTCTTTACTTAAGTGCATAGTTAAAAAGTAAAACGGTCGAAAGATATCGATTAGCTATAAGATTTGCTTTTATTAAGTATCAAATAATTTGAAAATACTTATCTTATCGATCTTTATACAATATCTTTAAATAACATTTTTAAGAGTTATAAATCGATTAAGCATATAAAATATAGAATCCTATCTTATAACAACATTTAAAACAAGCTTTAAGCTTTTCGTTAAAAGATGCTTTAAATCGTCGATAAAAGCTTTCATCGTTTTATTAAATCGCGATTTTCGAAGTTAGCTAGCCGTAACACACTTAACAAACTTCCGAACTTAAGTACGTTAATCAATGATTAGTAAATATAATTAGTAAATATTTTTTTTAAAAAAAAAAACTTATAATCGCAAGTATATATATAATCTTTCGTTTATCGCGTCTTCTTGCTCTCTTTAGCTCGTTTATATCAAAATCTTTTTCTTAATGCTTTTTTAAGCTTTCGTTCGTTAGCGATAATCGCGATCCGAGCAACGCTTTAAAAGATAATTGCAAGACGTAAGCTATACACGGAACGTATAAAATCTTTTAGCTTATAAAAAGCTTTTTCTTAAATGCATCTTCGACGCATTTAAGCAACTCTTTTATTATTATATTATTCGAAGATGCGTTATCCGTTGTAATCGCGATTATCCTTTCTATTAAGCTTAATTTAATAAAGCGTTCGTGAATAATTCTTGCTAATTCTTCTTTTATATAATTAAACTTAACGTGTATAAATCTAAGCATAAGCTGAATCATATGCTAATCTTTTGTAATTGCAGTTCTGATTATACACATAAAAGAATAGCGCTTAATGCTAGACTAACAATCTAATGAAATGCTGAGTTTTTAATTAGCTAGTAAATTGTTTAATAGATAACGATCAATTTCTAGAATCTTATCGTCGAAGTCTCGCTTAATAGTTGAAGCATTAAAGAGCTTAAGATATAGGTTTTATAATTCGCAAAGAGATTTTTAATCCGAGTTATTAACTATTCGAAACGAGCTTCGCGTAAATAATATAACATTTAAAACACCTTTTCGAAATGCTGATTTTAAGTTTTAATGCGAAAGCGTTCTTCGTAATAAATGTGTTTATTAGATATTAATTTTATTATTTATTAATCAGATTTACTAATCCGATTTACTAATCAAATTTACTAATTAGATTTACTAATTAGATTTACTAATTAGATTTACTAATCCGATTTACTAATCAGATTTACTAATTAGATTTACTAAATTTATTAACCGAATTTATAAATAAAAACAAACGTTCTAAATTGCGTTAAAAAGATTTAAATTTTAATTAAGTTTGCCGAAGCTTTTGTTTTGACCTACTTACGACGCGTTTGCAAACATTCGTTTTTTAATAATCGGCTAATGCTTTCGTTCTAAAAGCCTTTAGCTTCGGATGCTTTAAAGCTCGGTCGCACTTTTTATAGCATACTATAAGCTTTCTTATTGATTTTTTAACTGCTTAAACGAATCCAATCTATATAAAAGAAGTTTTCTTTCCATTCTAATCGATTCGTAAAAGATTTTGATTAGCCTCTTATTATTAAGAATACTATAAAGTCTATGACTACCAAGTATTAAAAGTCTTAATCTCTTTAACGTTCTAAATATAATATTAATTAGAACATTTAATAGTTGCTGATAGTACTAAGCTAAAGAAACTAGTTGTAGAGCTTTCGAACTCTTGACTTTGAAATAGATCGGTATTTTCGTAAGTAGTTAAAGTAATTTAAGATAAAAACGAATCAATAGCTTGAGAAGACATGTTTAGATTCTAACGAATTTGCTA